TAATTGTAGAGTAAACTAGCCATAAACAACCCGGCGGATGCGAAACCGCGCGAGCGTTTTGAGGGTTTGCTGAATAGGACCGTCAGAATCACCTGTAATTTTCAATATAAAATGCTGTTCCGAACTCTTTTGATAACTCAATTTTGGTGAAAAAAGTGGCTTCAAAATCTATTGAATTTTGACAAATCCTTGCAAATACCATGTGCATCAGACGTGGATTCGATGAGTTTTTTTAACACCCATCGTCGGCTCAGCGATCCATCAGTTTGGAAGCTGTCTTCGACAGCAAGTTGCCATTATGGCACTCATAACGCCATTGCCAGCAACGCAGGTACAGCATGACATCTTTGTTCTGCCCCGCTTTTGTCTGCAAATTTCTAGGCACAATTTTTTTAGCCAAATTCCACAGAGAGTCAATCTTCCCTGTGTGCACTTGGAGTACACCCAGCCTGCCACGACGCACACGTCTCACCCACACGCCTTTGCCGTGGTTGCAAGAGTAATACCTACCAGTGCAAACAGTGCAGAGCGTAACATCCAGAGCGTGTTAGAAGTCACATGGAAACAGCGCAGAGGGTAACATGCAGAGCGTGTTAAGAAGTCAAGTGGAAACAGTGCAGAGCGTAGCATCCAGAGCGTGTTAGAAGTCACATGGAAACAGTGCAGAGCGTGACATGGAGAGCGTGACATGCAGAGCGTGTTAGAAGTTGCTAGGGAAAAGACAGAGCGTAACATCCAGAGCGTGCTACGCAGGTGATGTTGGGCAAGAGCGTGTTCCACGCACTCTGCACATGACGTTAATATCCCACCCCACCCCAACCCAACCCGAAGACAAAGAGCAATCCTCAAAAAAGTAGCAAAACGCACGTACGGTTTTGCAGCCGTAGGCATAAACATGGGGAAACTGCTTTGATATTTTATTTTATGGGACAAACTATCCATTGGTTTGGGTATTTGGAGGGTCTTTGCCCATGCTTTTATCTTAATTCCTAGTACTTGTCTGGAGATTGTCTAATGGTTTATGTGAAAATTTGGTGGGCAATCCGGATTTTCCTCATCTCGGGCTGTATGAGACACGTCTTTGCAGAAAGCTATAAATGTGGATTGTAAAGAAATACACTCTGGCGGTTTACCTTTTAGCTATATGAATTTATATTTTGATTGTAATGAACTTTGATTGCATAGCTATGGTTTATCTTTTAGACATGGTGGTTTTCTATCGCTGCGCTATGCACACGTTGGGCCGATCACTGGATTTGGGAAATGGTGGATCACTAGAGCCCTACCAATGGTCACGTGATGTCACGTGAAAGTTCTGGTGGTGACTGGTGACAGTGCATAGCACAGGCGGGGGAACTCTGGGGGTACCACAATGGTAGCAACTCACAGGGGTTGGGATATATTTTTTCATGTGTATACCCTTTGCCCTAGGCGTCATCGACTATTAAAACAATAGGCTTGATGCGAGCGACTATAAATATCAACGAACGACTATTTTTCTGGAATTCCACGGGAAGCAGAAGGGGCTCGATCAGCTTTGAACTTCATAGGGGCGCACAACTTGGCTAGCGAAGGTAAGGCACAATCTGGGCTGATATGGCCGAATACATGTGAATACTGCGGGAATATTCGCGAAGTATGTTTTGTTTAGCGTTTTGGAGGACAAAGGCAAATCAATCATTGATCTGCCGCAATAGGGTTTGCATCAGCAGAGGTACAACCCAAGTACAAAAAGTATATTCAAGATAAATATAATTTATACATCCCGAATGGACCTTCTATTGGCATCTATTGGCCAAGATGTTGCCGAACCTCTTCGAATAGAGTTTTGTGAAACTTGCTCCCGTGCCAAGTTCTTCTTTCTTGCGCCATGAACGCCTGTCGGTAGACCTGTGGTGTGAATGCGGAGAGAAGCCAAAAGATGTGCAAGGTTTCGTCATGGTGTTCCGGAACAGTGGTGGTTTCAACCTCTAGCGTGCTACCCTTTCAGAACGGATGAACAACCTTGCCATCGATCTGGGACTTCCTGAATCTTCATTTTCCTGTCTTTCTTAGCGCTTTGGTTCGCCCTTGTTTTGTTGATGTTTGTTGCATGTTTTGATTAGCGATGCCAGTCGTATCCAGTTAGTTGTGCTTGTTGAGATTTGCTGAGCGTTTTGTTTAGCAATTGTGTTGTGCTGCCAAGCACGGTTTGTGTATTGCGAGCTCCAACAGGTACAAGGAATCACATCTGACAGCCGAACCTTCATTTTATGACAATACACTTGGTTCTGGTGGGAAATAAAATGCGACTCTATGATCAAGTTTTGGTTTGGAAGGAGGGGTTCAGGAAACAGCGTGAAATGAGTGTGATATGAGTGTGAAACAACGTGAAACAATCATACAGGAACGTGAAACGAGCGTGAAATAACGGCAAACCAGCGTGAACGACCAAAAGGATGCGTGACCACAAATATTGTTTTTTTTTTGGTTGGGGGTTTAGTTGTGCAGTTGTGCTTCTTGGACTTTGCTGCCAAGCACGGGTCGTGTATTTCAAGATTCAATAGGTACAAAACATTAGACTTGATAGCCGAACCCTCATATGGAAGTACTTTTGCATCTTGCAGGAAAGAAATGATGCCTGATAATTAAAAGGATGAACTCTTGAAGGGGGGGTGCGTGAAACAGTGTGAAATGAGCGTGAACTGAACCTGAAACAACGTGAAACCAGCGTGAACGACCAAAAGGATATATCAACGACCATAAACATTGTCTTTTTGTTGGGCGTTTAGTTTAGTTGTGCAGCTGTGCTTCTTGGACTTTGCTGCCCAGCACGGATTGTGTATTGCGAGATCCAAGAGGTACAAAAAATTAGTTCTGATAGCCGAACCCTCATATGGAAATACTTTGCATTTGGCAGGAAATAAAATACGGCCTGAAAATCAAACTTTGGACTTTGGGAGGAGGCTGAGTGAAACAGCGTGAAATGAGTGTGAAACTAGCGTGAAAAACAATAATTATGCGTGAACGACCATAATTGTGCGTGAACGACGGGTTCTTGAAAACTGTCTTTTTCTTTAAAAATGGTGTGGGTTCATGTGCTTTTTTTGAATATTGGAATACATATGTGGCCACTAGGCATTCTGGAAACAATTTAGGTGAAATAGTAACCAGTAGTGGGTTGTATGGCCAAAGCCATGCATGATACTTTGTGTGTTGCTGTGGGAAAGTCAAACAGGCAAGTTAGTGTTACGTGGGTGGTAGTGGAAAGAAACTTATAGCAGGGACTTTGCCTGTGTAGAGTTTAGGCAATTCTCAGCACTCTCATTGGATGCCTTGCTGGATGTTTTTCTTGACTTGACACATAAAAATCCTGTGCTTCGCGCTGTTTTAACCTCAAAATATTCAAATGCTCAAGCAGTCACTCATTTTTGATCAACATGAGCAGCGGAAACATGGGCAAACCCAAACCCTCAAAATTTAGGAAAAATCATGGATAATCAAGATTCCGGGGTCTGCATTCTCTTGTATGGATGTAGTGCATGTGTGTGCATGTGTCTGCACATGAGTTTGTTGCCAGCGGTTTGCATACAAATTACGCGGAGCGAACCCCTGGTGCATCGTTTAGGTACGAACCCGTTTTTGCACAAACAACAAGACTTGTCACACAAAACAACAAGAATGGCACAAACAAACGTTTTTCTGTTTTTTTTTTTTAAATCTGTTTGATCTGATTTGGTACCGCCTGGGCTCTTTTTGAAGCTGTTTTATTATTGTGCATAAACCTCTTGACGGTGCATAAGCTGAACTATCTTGGACTTAATTTGTGAACTTCCAGCACTCAAGACCGGTAACACGTGAAACAGAATTAACTGCCGAATTCAAGCAAGTACAATCCGATCCACAACTGCAAAACGATCAAAACATAGGCCTCTATTGAACACCCGGTAAAACAGTAGGCAGCAGCCTGAACACACACACATTTGCTTTAAGCGTTTGAAGATCCAGGTCTAAAAGAAATCAGCGAACGGTTCTTTCATGCAACTCAAGCCACCGGGCCAAATAGATCCCAACGTGTGGATATCTTTCATGGAGTGCGTTTGCTTGTAGAGTTCCAATAAAACATATGTTGCATATCTCTGCATTGTGGTAGTTTTTACATAGCAAAAAAAAACAGCTTGGCTCTGGATGGCTGGATAGGGATCCGGGCAACCAAATTGAAAGGTCCGAGGAAAATTGAACACATTATCGTTTTGAGGGTGGTCGAATGATTTGAAAATGAGAAGTACGCAATGCAAACTTTGATTTGGTATATCAGGCAAGTCTTCTGATCGAGGATGAATCAGAAATGCGCAGTAAATTCGCTCAGGGGTGCGGTCAGGAAAAATGTGAATCCGGAAATAGAAGTTATCACTTCTCCCTCGAAATTTGCTCTTAAGATGACTTGTGGGACTTGCTAACGTTGCTAAGCCCTAGATAGGCGAACTGTGCGACTATTTTGGGAAACCGGTGCTTGTCGAACGACTATTGTTTTTATAGGCTTTTGAATCCCAGGGTTTTTGGTTATTTAACTATGAAAAATTGCCAATTTTTAGCCAAAATTCATCTATATGACATAGCCAGCTCACCACTTCCGTGAGCTCGGCTGCAGATGCCGGTTGAGCAGATGGCGGAGGGTCCTGTGACAGCCGCAGGACACGCAGCACGGGCATTTGGAAATGACAGAAGGTGGTGAGCGTGTCCCTTCGGAGTGGTCAGGTCGCGTGCAAAGGAGCTGGCGGAAAGCATTCTAGAAATCCCACAGACTTTTGAAGAACTCGCTAATACCAAAGCCTGGCTTCTGGAGCAATTGCGGCTTTGGATATTTTTTTTTAAGCATCCGTGATTGTCATCAGACCACAAGTAAGCTCTGGCCTGGGAGCTCCCAACAGCCAATTCCACAAGCGCTTGTGGGGCCAACATGCTATAAGCGCCGCCTCCAAGAGCACATTGACTGATGCGGGAAGTTTTCAAATTGCCCA